CTATAGCACCGCCGTGATTTCAACGACGGTGTTCTTTTTACCATGTGACCAGCTTACGCCGGTGTAAAAATGGCGGATTTGCTTTACCTTCAAATTTAGTAACTCGAAATTTAGTTAACAGCTAACTGAACTTATTGGCAACATACTGCGTTAAACCATACAAAATATTTTCAGTTAGCTGTTAATTAAACATCGAATTATAATTTAGACGTGGTTTCAAAAATACGGGCGTGGTCATTTTTGTAAATCGATGTTTTCGTATCTCAAATAATTCAGCATCTCTATCAACTGTAACAATAAATTAACACAACCGTCACTGGAAGTCGTTTTACGCAGCTCAATTTGTTTTTTGTTTTTGGTGTATATATTTTTCTATATTTATAATTATCCAGTGCATAACCGTGAAAACATAAAATATTTTCAGCATTCTAAAATTATAATTCATATATAGTATTATCTATTCATAGTTTTTATGTTGTTAGTTTACAATAATAGTAATATTATTAATTGATATGATTGTTTTGAATTTTTGTTTTTCTCAACTTTAAAGCTAAACATGTGCGTGAAGATATAAAGTCACAGCTACATTTAGCCATGAGATTAAACCGATGTGACATCGCTGAGACAGAGATAATCACGGCTGATAGAAGAACAGAATGGAAGGTATTAGACCATTTTATTTACTTTATCAGCAAATATGACCCATGAAAAAAAATATGCTGTAGTAATGTGCTTCATTTTATTTTTTATTTTCACATAGAATTTACATTTCGAGGAACATATGGAGACTGCTTTAATTCAAAACAAAGTGGACTTCGTCACTCTGTTTTTGGAGCATGTAATCCAATTAGAAACATTCTTGACAATTGCCAGACTTCACGCTTTATACACGAAAGTGAGTATTTTAGATATTGGAATGTAACTAAATGCGATGCTATGCACTGCAAAATATCACTACTTGATTTTGGGTTACGTATAAAGCGCAGAACCGGAACCGGAATCGGAGGAACAACTCAGTTAAATTGCAATTTTATATAATTCTACTCCCTCAACTCCCAATCCTGTATCGAAATGCAATTTGCAATTAAATTTGACACAATACACTATTATGTGTGTTGGTATTAGGTTTAGGTTGATATACAGTATACGTATACAGTACTGTACTTGTATATCCTTTCACCATAATCATAATGCAAGGACATGTTTAAATTTGAATCTCATTGAATTAAAGATTAATTGAATTGCAGGCTTATATCAGGAGACAATTTAATTAAAGTTTAACATGTCTTGGCATTATGATTATGATGATTATGATGAGTATATACTGTGTATCAATCCACTGCTGATCAAATTCGACCGTATTCATCGTTGTTTATGCGTGGAAATCCCCTTGCATACGAATACGTCATCTACCTATGACAAGAAATAATATCCCCTTTGTTATTGTGTGAGTACCTTTCAACCTTTCCAAATAGGATTTTGTTTGTAATGACATAACAAAGATAAAGAATGTCATTACTCATATCTGATTTGAACATTTGATCGCCCGATAACGATAGATTAAATAGGACATTTAATAGGACGAATGCTCTAACAACATTAAACTATATTTCACACATAGAATAGTTTAAAATACAAGCATAGCATCGCTTACAAAAAGTTGTTATTCCGACGTGACACTGCAAAATGATAGAATCAATTTAAATTGTGATGTGAAACCTGGTCATGTATTATTTTGAACAACTAACCGTTTTATAGATAACCGCCACAATGCACAGTTCTCTTCCAGGTAACAATTACTTATCACTGTGAACTCGTTAGGTATAAAACAAATGAACAAAATGTAAATGAATGTAAATAAATCTTTTCTTGAATGAAATTGATCTCGTTATCTATCACACATACACTACCGTACACTAGAAACACATTTATTTAAAAACATACATGACAACTGTGGTAACAGAATTTTTTTATTTAAATATTCCGTTAATTTATGAATTTATAATTACATGGTTGGCGCTTCGGGAAATCTTATATTTCTTTTCCATACAGCCCTGTGTTTACATCAACTGTTCTGTTCTCTAGCAATGTCATCATACTCTTAAAATGTCTTCTCAAACTGATTGCATCAAATTTGCCCCATTAAAACCTTAGATAATAATCAGACGATAACACGTCACAGTGTTTTTAAAAGTACCCGGATTTTGTATAAATGTGCGCTGTTTATTAACTCGAATAATTACTGAATTCTTATTGATAATACCTCTGCCATAGACGCGTATATAAGGATGACAAATTTTAACACTCATAATTTAAGTTTATTAGTAAATATAAAAACACAAAAAAGTAGCGCCTTGACTTACACTTTAAATGTAAATGATAGAGGCGAGTCTATGGTCAAAATAAGAAAAATTAAAATGATTTTAATATAATGTAAAGTATATATGTTATTCCTTTTTGTAATCTTTGTCTCAAATACGGAGTTGTGTTTATGGTTCTTTGTACATAAGACCAGAAGTGAAGCTATGAAGCATTCCAATATTCATTCTCATTCTCAGATAGATTGTAGATCTGATATCGGCTTACTTTCTCAAGTTGAATTTTGAACTGAAAGATTTATCAACCACATTTATTACCGTTTGCAATCATGATTAGTCAACTTCTTCCAGAACATGTCAGCGAGGTAATGCACTTGACGCCACCGGCTTCTCAAATTTGGATTCTGGTGGTCTTGAATTGTACAAATCTTTTAGCGTTTTTTGAATTCTCCTGCGAATCATGGAAACAATCAATACAACAAAACTGTACTATACAATACACACTATTCTATAGATTTGTTAATTATTAGTAATTATGTTAATTATTAGTAATTATGTTAACTATTACTAATTATGTTAATTGCTACTTGTTATTCTTACAGATTATTAAAGCACGGTATGCAATTGCTGGCAGATTAAGTACAAAACACATTCTCAAACGGTTATTGGTAAGTACATGTGTTTTAAATATACTATGTTTAGATATACACTATACAAATAAAGATCCACAAATAATATTATTAAACCATGCTACTTTTGATTCAGTTAAACGAAACATCTTATTTTATAACTGCGATAAATCTTTTCACAGAAAGGAAAAGAAGACAAGGTATATCTGCAGGCAATTGGTCGATTGTGTCAGGAATTTCTAGAAGATGAGTTTGATGTTCTATATCAAGATGACAAGTACGTAGTTGATGACTCGATAGTGACGAGTCACGTGTCTAGATCCAAAAAGATAGATTTCCAACATTCTGATAAAGACCTCTTAATCTGGGCTGTATTAACTAATCGAAGAGGAATGGCAGAATTGTTTTGGAGAAGGCTGACAATTGGCAATATAGGTATGAAGCTTTTACTCCAATAATATGTTTTAACCCAACAACACACACCAGTAGTAAAAAATGAATTACCTTTAAATTAGCAGAAAATTTAACATAAAAATAATCATTTTAAATCTTCATTATACTTGCCAATCAAGGAATATTCAATCAACTATAGCCTATAGTGTATATATATTTAAAATAATATGAGATTATTACGAGGATACCTCAAAGCATACACGAAGACAGTACAGTGAATGTATCGACCGACGCGCAGCATACTTTGAGGTTCACTCGTAAATTACCTTATTATTATACATCTTTTGGGAATGCCGAAATCCAAAATGTTTAGAACAGAATCAGCGAACTTCTTTGTGTGGAGTCCGGGCAAACCCTGGTGGCAGCCATGTTTGTTTTTATTATTAGAGGACACTTACGCGCGTAATAATTCCATATTTGGAATTTGCATTTCCTAATATGGTAGGCTGAAAACACTCCGTAAAATACCACGAAATTACGGCACGCTGTAACTTATGGCGTTACGATGACAGGTGTATAATAATGTTGAGTATGTAGATCACGAAGATAACATATGACGCCAACAGTGAAGCTAGTATAAAAATCATGGTCTGAACATTGTAGCTAGTATGTAGATAATATCCCGATAGTACAGTATATAACCAATAAATATCAAATATTTGTTACATAAATAATGCAAGATAATAAATATAACTACTAGTGACTTTTCAAAACCACTTGTATGTTTATTGTGATGGGTTAGAATAATTGACAATGTATGTACCAAACAATGCATTATAATTTATATAATATCATAACTCTTGTCATATCCAGGTTCAGCTTTAATCGCTGCTAGAATATTGACGGCTCTTGCCAAAAAAGCCAATATTGAAGAGAGTACGTTAACCCATGACCTGGAAAACCATGCGGAGTATGTTATAAACTATTGGACTATAAAACACGAACTATCTCCTACCGACGTGTAACGTTGATTTTAATCGCCTATTTGAGGTTTTTGCTAAACATAATCATACATATCTGAGCTGTACTCATGACAAATAATACTTATTTGTTCAAAAATTAGTATTTAACTAATACCGACTTTTAAACACGTGTACATTTGCATTTATTCAAAGCGCATTTGTGAAGTTTGCCATAGGAGTCATCGACCAGTGTTACGAGGACAATAAGAGATGGGCACAGCTTACATTGGTTCGCAAATTGAGTGTGTGGGGAAACACAACTTGTTTATCTATTGCATATTCTGGCCAAAAAATGAATTTTCTGGAGCACGAGTGCTGCCAAACTAAGATGGAGCGTACCTGGAAAGGAATGATACAAATGAATCTGTTTGAACAGAAAGCAAAGGTAAGTCGTATACATTTATAAATACAAGACTTGAACATGTGATATGAAACATACAATCAGGAAAATGGATGATACAACTCCACACATCACCTGGCTAGGTATTGCCAATAAACATTAATTTATATTTCTTCCAGTTTTGGCTCGCGTTGTTTTGTCCTGTGTTCATTAGAAGAGTAACGTTCCACGCAATTGACTATAAGGAACTTCTACACAGACATAAACAAAGAGTTG